TCACTGACCGATCCTGTTGTGCCCGGAGAACGTTCCGTTTGGGGAGCCATAACGGAAACGATCTTCCGTGAAATCGATTTCTTCTGACATCTATGAATCGAAATCTGAGACGATTTCGGAAACGAAGAAAAACCCAAATCCTTCTACAATCGAAGATGTCAGAGAGAGAGAGAGTCAGTCAAATGCAAACAAAATCGAAGAAATGAGAGATGATTGATGATAATGAAAACCTTGGAGGAGGATTTGCAGACGAAAGGAGAGGAAGAGATTACAGAGGAAGCCATGGTTGGTTTCTTCGATGTGTGCGGTGTTTGTGAAGAAGGAGATTGAGGCGTGTGTTAACTTTTAAACCTAAAGGAAGGTTATATAAAATCCTCTTTGTATTACGACTACAAGTGTCTTAAGGAAGGCTTCGTTGACTGAGTGGAAGAGAGAGTCTATAGGTTGGTGACGAATTAAAATCTTTTTATCACGTGATTTGTCTACTTTTCCAAACTTCTTAAATTTTTATTTTCAATGTGAATTTCAATATTTACGAAAATCGTTATCATATAAATTTGAAAGAATTCGATCAAATAAGTAGAGAAGGCTTGATGTGGTGTGAATCAAAGTTAAAGATCGAATTTTCCCATCACAAAATATATAAAAAAAAAAAATCATTGTAAATTTTGTTTTGGTGATTTACTGCTAATATTTTAGGTGACAAATGATATTTATTTTAGTTGTTTTCTCATTTGATTTTACGGTTTAATTGTATCGGAATAACAATTCTTATAACTTAAACATGTATCTGAGCAAGGGACATCAGAACTCTATCTACTGCATTCTGACCATTTGCTTCATGTATGTTCTCCGGAAAACGGCTAATTCTCCCATGAATTTAGTGGTTCCCGATTATTTATACGTGAACTATCAAATCCTGCCAAAACACACATAAGCTAATTTTATTTTTGAACCACATGAACTATTAAAATGCAATTAATTCTCACAAATCGTGTCAGTTTTCCGTTAAGTGATGCTGACGTGGATGACACGTGGTACACAGTTTTGTTCTCTAAAAAAAATAAAAAATCCAAAACTGATCCTTACAAGAATCGAACCCCGGGGGCTATCACATGTGTTGAGTGACACTACCAGTAAACCAAGATCATATTATTGATCTATAACACGTTTAAAAGTACTTAACATAAATGTTCGGTCGTTTTCTTCTTCCTCCTTCTTAACATAAAATTTTGAAAGTAAAAACCTTAAAGATGTATCAAAAGGTTTTTGACAAAAGAGGACTTTTTTCAGTTTCGAATTTGACAAACTAATCGAAACTCTCTAATTACAGAGAGTAGGTTTCGAATTTAAGAATCGAAAGTAAAACCCTTCAAATCGAATTAAATAAAGAAGATCCAAGAGAGGGATTTTGCAAATCAATCAAAATCCTAAAGAAACAGAAACCCTAATTAGAAACAACAAAGGTAAAAATAGAAGAACACTAAGATTCAAAAACACAACGACATAAGAACGAAATCCGATTAGCGTATCAAGTTTGAAAGTAATTAACATAAATT